GAAGTCTTACCACCTTGTTTCTAAGGAGCATTCTGACTGTACTTATTCCAAGACAAATTTGTTTGTTCTTTTGACGATCCATGGTACGTACTTGTAATATTCTTTGCCAGCACCATGATTCAAATACCTTGATTATTCTTCAGTCTTCCTCATTTATTGTCCACAAGCACAGAGCCTAGAATTTCAGTATATCACAAAAGGGGTTGTGGCTGTAAGGGCCATATTAAGTAATTGTCTACATCACACCAAGTGACACAACTGCTCTTCAAACTTCTGTCTAATTTATACCCCATCTAAATCTGATTTAGTCTACCACCATAAAATCAACACTGCCTTGCTAAGGTTTTCAGTATGTGTGTTAGTAATTTCCAAATCCGATAGTCTCTTCTCAGTATTTATCTTACTTAATGTCGATGCATTATTTTTGATACTATCAAATACTCTATGGAGATACTCTTCTTAATTTTCTATTATACTAATCTTTCCTGGGACCCCTGCTCACTTTCTTAGAACCCTTGTGAATTCTCTTGCTGTATTTTAAATATTCATGCTCCAAGATTCCATCCTTATCTTTCTTCCCTGCCCCCCGCCTCCTCCCACTCCATATACTCTTGAGTAGTCTCTTCCGGGGGAATAACTGTATCTATGACCTGTATAGAGATTAAAATGATCGTCAAGGGAAAAAACTTATTCTGAGAGAATTAGGATCTAAAGACAGTATGAATTGCAAAAGCAGAGTTAAAAGCATCTTTGAAAATCTTTAAAATGTTAGCTAAGTTATTGTATACAAGGCTTTGAATGTATGTAGTATCAATCAGGAAATCAAACGGTGCCAGTTTTCCAACAGTATTGGCACAGAAGGTTGTTTCTTCGTTTTAACACCAGATGAAGATGCTGGCTTGCATTTAGAGGCCATGTTATAAGAAAAATATGTTTTTGTTTTTTGCCAAGCACATATTTTAGAATTCATACAAGTTGCTTATGGAGATAATTCCACTGTATTTATTTTCACCTGACCTCATTCATTAGCTTCAGATTCATATACTAAATCACCAACTAGATGTCTCCTTAATATTTCAACACAGATTATTATCGTTAGATTTCTGAAAGCTGAAGACATGAGAAAATTCATATTCTACTTAGCAGAGGCATTGATTGAAAAGATACAGTGATGTGACAATGGTGCAGCTTACATGTGGTATATTCTCATAGCCCGCTTGACATTCTTATTCTGGGCAGATATTCTCCAGCACTGTGCAGTTGCCTACACTCAACTTCAAATAGGTGAGAACTCTTGGCTAAAGCAGTATTGTTGAGCCATATTGAGGCTAATAGAATTCTTAAGTGTCCAGGAAATCATGGTGACATTTTATTCATTCTGTCAAGTGCTGTAGCTCATCCACTAGCTGTTTGGTCACCTTATAGACAACCTCGCGAAGGCATGAAAAACCAGTCCAGTAAACTCCCAGCATTTGCCTATTGACCAGACTGAAGATGTGCTATGCATAATCAACAAGCCTGTGTGGTCAAGACATTCACCTTCTATTTGTTATATTCTCCAAATAGTATGAATAGTGAGAAGCATGATAAAACAGAGCAGTCAAACATTCTATTGAAAATGTGAAGGGAGATGTCGGATAGGGCAAGCTATGACAAAATAATAATTTATAAATTATCAAGGGCTCATGAGGGAGAGGGGAGCGTGGAGGGAGGGGAAACATGAGGACCTGATGCTGGGGGCTTAAGTGGAGAGTAAAGGTTTTGAGAATGCTGAGGGCATTGAATGTACAAATGTGCTTTACACAATTGATGTATGTATGGATTGTGATGAGTTGAATGAGCCTCTAATAAAATGATTTAAAAAAATGTGACAACACTTCATAGCGGTGGCCTGTTTCACTTCATGTGCCAACAGTGGGAATGAACGGTTCTCATGATGCCCTCTGTCTTCCTGCCGGTCTGCATGCTCCGCAGTGTGTTTTCGGATGCTTTGAGTGCATACAGAAGGTCATCCTGTTTCACTTTTCTCCTACGTGTTCTTCCATATCTATGTGCTATGAACCCCTTCATCTGAGGAAGACTTAACCCCACATGCTCTATAGTTAGTTCCTGGTTGCTGAGGTAGAAAACTTTGCACATCTTTTATATCCCTTTATTCTTTGCTGGCTACAGAATTTGGGTTTTTTAATTTGTTTGTTTTTTCCATTTTGAAGATGACCTCCTTTTGTTCCATTGTTATTCCCTTTACAAAACAACAGGGTATAATTCATATCCAGATAGCATTAATTTATTTTTTACCAAATACATCTTCAGTGAAGTTAAGGTTATAAACTATTTTCTTCCATTTAAGCACATTTATATCAATTATAATTCTGTCACTGAAAATGTTGTTTATTTTCATCATAAAAGTAATCTTATTTTTTTTCTTAAATCTGAAATAAAAAATAGGAAGGCAAAAATGCATCTACAATCCCCTTACCCATTGTCCTAGTTTGGGTTCTCTAAAAGAGTAAAATTCAGGAGAGAAAGAGATTCATTTCAAGATAAAGGCTCACGCAGTTGTGAAAATTGGCAAGTTCCAGGTGTCCCGCTGCTCTGGAGTCATGTGGTGGCAGAGGCTGATGGATCCAGAATTGGTAGGTTAAGTAGTAGACTTCTGGCACATGGGACTGTAGGAACTGGTGAATACAAAGCTCTGTAAGTCAGGCAGCAGGCTGCAATTTATTTCCTAAGAACTACAGGTCAGGTGATGGTCAGATGAAGGGTCAAGAGAGAGAAGTTGTTGCCAGAATACCCATCTACAGCAGAGGTAGCCCACACTTTCAAGGAAGTTCTCCTTACATTAGATCACACTCACACACACACACAAAGAATAACTTAAAAAGAGTAAAACTCTTTTGAGATATAAAACAGATTTTAAAAGAGATGGAGGAAGAGAGATACCAAGCTCTGTGACAATTGCCCAAGAGCAGACTCTGAGAAGAAATTAACTTTACCCGTAACTGAGAAAGACAGAAAACTTTCTCCTAGAGCCAGCACCCTGAGTTTAGATTTCTAGGCTCCAAAACTGTCAGAAAAATAATTTCTCTTTGTTAAAGCCATCCACTTCTGGTATTTCTGCTCTAGCAGTATTAGATAACTAAAGTAGAACTTGGTACTAGGAGTTGGGTGCTGCTTTACCAGATACCAACAATGTGGAAGTGGTTCTGAAATTGGCGAATGCATCCATTCTTTCTCAGACTTCCTCATTCATTGTTCAACTTCCACATTCCTGTGAGGCACTTGCAAGTACCACAGCTTGGCTCCAGTGCACCTGAGTCTTCAAAGTGACATCCTTGACTTTCAACATTTAGAAGAGGCCTTGCGCAGCAGATTTACTCAATGCAACGCATTCTTTGATTTCTAGACTGCTTCTCCCATGAACATTGGTTGTGGATCCAAGAAAGATAAAATCCTTCCTTGACAATTTCCATTTTCAAGTTTTTGAAAGTTGTCACTCATCATGAGATTGCCTATTGATCCTGCTGTGAGGGTTTTAAAAAAACAGATTCAATGCATATAAATCCATACTGATGTCTGAAGTCCTTGATTTTCATCAACAAGTGCCTCAGGCCCTTCTCATTTTCATCAAGCAAGTTTGTGCCATCTGCATATTGCAGGTTGTTAATACTCAAACCTTCCTCCCATCCTAATGCCATGTGTTTCTTCATTCAGTCCAGCTTCTCAGATTATTTGCTTAGCATACAGATTGGGGAAGTATGGTGATAGGATGCCACACGGACACACGCTTTTCCTGATTTAAGTCCTGCAGTATTCCCTTGTTCTGTTTAAATGACTCCCTCTTGATCCATGTACAGGTTCTGCATGAGCACAAGGAAGTTTTTGGCAATTCCCATTCTTCTTAATGTTATTCATAGTTTTCTATGATCCACACAGTCCCATATCTTTCCATAGTCAATAAAACACAAGTAAACATCTTTCTATTTTCCTCTGCTCTCAGCCAAGGTCCGTCAAACATCAGAAACAATATAGGCATATCCTCTTCTAATTTTTTTTTCTAGTACAAAATTTTGCAAAAACCACATGAATAGTTTATTTATAGAGAACTTTTCAGGAAACAAAAACTCAAGAAAAAAAAGATCAAAGTATTTCTTCTTAAAGATAAGGCAACTAATGCCTAGCACACCTCAAAATCCTTTACAAAAGGAGACAAGCTTAATAACTTCTAGTCCAAGGCTTTCATTTCTTGGTTACTTTTTCTTTGTCTTTGTCTTTTCCTTTGCTTCCATCTTAAGTTGAAGTTCCTCAGCTGTCAGGGCTCCCGGTTTCTTATTCTTGGCTTTCTGAACCTTTTCCTTGATGGCAGCCACATCAATTTTAGTTTCGGTAGAAGCTTCCTTAGGTTTCACAACTGGTTTTTCTTTAGGTGGAATAAAAGCTTTGTTTCTTTCCTCTTGTCTCTTACTGAGCGCTTCTGCTTGTTTAGCCTTTATAGCTTCCATCTTCTGTCGTTTCTTCTGACTTGCCTTCAAAAAGTATTCACCACTAGCCAATTCTTTGTCAATCTGACTTTCTGGCTGTGGTGGTGGGAATGGTGTAAATTCTTTCTTAACAGTGTTTTTCTTTGGTTCCTTGCGCTTATTCACATTTTTATGTTTGAACTGTGGCAAAAATCTTTCCCAACTCTGTGATCTTAATTCAGAATCTTTTGCCAACTCTCGTTTAATCATTAAAGTTTTAATGTTGTATATTGGATGAATGTTCGTCATAGTATCTAGGACTACTTTCCGAACCTCTTTTAAACCGTTGATGGGTCCAATGGCTGAAACTGTGTTTCCCTGAACCATAATGTAGCAGTTTGTTAACAGTTCCAAGGCCTTCAATGTGGATCCTTTGGGGCCAATAAGACGCTGTCTTCTTTTTACAAATCTTTCTTTATTTCATACTAAAGAACCTATTTTAATGATGTCGCATGCAATACCATCCTGAAGAATTCTTATTGCCTGCTCAAACGAAACACTCCTAGCTAAAAGCTTTATTAGGTCTCTGGCTCTAATGATGATATAGGGATCAGAAGTCTTCTTTGTTGTACTAACAGTCATGCTGCCCTCAGTCAGGTCCAAGTTTGCGTTAGCATGCTCGGCTGTCCAGCTTTGCCTTCTGGTGACGAGACTGGCTCTTCCCGGGCGCGGTAGGTGACCCGTGCAACGCCGAAGCCATCTTAGGAGACTTCCGTTGACCTATCCTCTTCTAATTTGACTTAAATTTCAGGTAGCTCCCTCTCGATGTAGTGCTGTAACCATTTTTCAGTTGTCCTCAGAAAATTTTACTTGTATATGATGTTAATAATATTCAATAGTTTCTGCATTGTGTTAGGCAACCTTATTTGGAATGGCCACAAATATCGATCTCTAACAGTTGGTTGACATTGCAAAGGCATTCAGCTCTGTGGCTCATAACCAATTATGGATAGCTTTGAGAAGAATGGGAATTACAGAAAACTTCATTATGCCCAAACAGAACCTATTTCTGGATCAAGAGGCAGTTGTGAAAATATAACAAGGAAGTACAGCATGGTTTAATATGAAGAAAGCTGTTCATCAGGGTTGTATCCTCGCATCATACTTATTCAGTCTGTATGCTGAGCAAATAATCAGAGAATCTGGGTTATATGAAGAAGAATGTGGCATCAGGTTTGGAGGAAGATGTATTATAAATTTCAAAGTGCAGATGACACAGCCTTGCTTGATGAAAGTAAGAATTTAAAGTCTTTGCTGATGAAAATCAAAGATTGCAGCCTTCAATGTGGATTACAACTAAAGAAAACCAAAATCCTCACTAGACCGATAGGTAATATCATGATAAATGGAGAGCAAATAGGAGTTGTCAAGGATTTAATCTTGCTTGAATCCACCACCAATGCTCATGGAAGCAGCAGTCAAGAAATCAACGATACATTGCATTTTTATGTATAAACCTGTTGAACAAGATCTCTTTAAAGTGCTAAAAATCAAGGATGTCATTTTGAAAACTAAGGTGAACCTGACCCAAAACATGATATTTTCTACTGCCTCACAAGTATGTGAAAGTTGAACATTGAAAAAGGAATACTGACAAAGAATCAATGCATTTGAAATATGGTGCTGACAAAGAATATTGAAAGTACCATGGACTGTCAAAAGAACAAACAAATGTGTCTCAGAAGGAGTAGAGTCAGAATGATCCTCAGAAGCAAGGATGGCTATAGTTTGGCTCATGTGCTTGGAACATGTTATAAAAAGAAACTAGTCCTTGGAGAAGAACATTATCCTTGGTAAAGTAGAGGGACAGTGAAAAAGAGAGGCTAGTAATGAGGTGGACTGGCACAATGGCTTCAACAATGGGCTCAACCATAGGAACAATTGTGAGGCTGGCACAGGATCAGGGAGTGTTTTGTTCTATTGTACATGGGGTTGCTATGAATTGGAAGTGACTTTATGGCACCTAACACACACACACACACACACACACACACACACACACACACACACACTGTTGTCTCCTCCCACAGATGAAGTTAATTCAATTCTAGGGTATTTTGTCTGGTGAGGCTCATATGAATGGACTTGATTTATGTTGTTGAAAAAAGGTATTTGCAACAAATGTGTTGTTGATCTTGCCAGATTCTAGCACGCAATCTCAGCTTCATTTCCATTACCAGGGCCTTATTTTCTCAAACTCTTTGTTTCTAACTTCTTCAATCCAATAGCCAATAATTATCAACACATTTTGATTGCATGTTTGACCAATTTTAGACTGAAAAAGTCGGTCATATTCTTTAGTTTCTTCATCACTAGCTATAGTGCTTGGCACAAAAATTTGAATAATAATTGTGTTAAATGGATTTCCTCACAAGGGTAAAGATGCTGTCACAGACAGCATTGTACTTTAAGGTAGATCTTGAAATGTTCTTTTTGATGATTAATGTGCTGCCATTTCTCTTGAATTTGTCATTCCTAGTGTAGTAAGCCATATGATTTGGTCATATTCAAAATGGTCAATACCAGTCCATTTCAGATCACTAATTCCTGGATTTCAATCTCACTTTATGCATACCATTTCATTTCTGATGACTTCTAATTTTTCCTAGAATTATACTTTGTACATTCAACATTCAGGTTATTAATATATGTTTGCACATCTCATTTTGAACTTCTGAGGACTCTACTTTATTCATACCACTATGGTTGACCCTACTTTTGAGTAGGTAGCTCTTTCTCAGTCGTATTTTAGTCCTGAGGGACTCCTCTTCCAGAACTTTATCCCAGTGTTTGCTGCTATTCACACAATTCCCAGTGGCTAATCCCTCAGGCAGGAGTAAGCAATCCATTCTGTAGTAATAATTTCTTTTGTAAGAATTAGTACCAGAATAGTTACAAGGAATTTGAAGATTGAAGATGTCTCAAATATCCAATTCTTCCAAGAAACTGTTTTGTTCCATCCACCCCCTATTCCTCCCTTGAGAATATTCTGTCACATCCCAAGGTTCTCCAATTCACTGCAACACCTCGCAGAACCCCATCACACTTTGAGGAAATATCTTGCACGGTGGTGGGTACTCTTCAGTTCAAATCCTGAAAGTGAGGCAGTTGTTGTTAGGTACCATCAAGTCAATTCCAACCCATAGCAACCCTGTGCCCAAGAGAATAAACACTGCCCGGTCTGGACAATCATCACAATTGCTCCTCTGCCTGAGCTCATTGTTGGAGCGAATGTGTCAATCCATCTCCTTGAAGGACTTCCTCTCTCTCTCCACTTGACCAAGTATGGTGTCCTTCTCTAGAGACTGGTCTCCCCTAACCACAGGTCCAAAGTCTGGGAGACAAAATCTTGCCACCCCTGCCTCTAAGGAGCACCCTGGTCTTACTTCTTCCAAGACAGATTTGTTCGTCTTTTTAGCAGTCCGTGGTGCTTTCGATATTCTTCTCCAGGACCACAATTCAAATAAATCCATTCTTATTCAGTCTTCTTTATTCAAAGTGCAATTTTCACAGATATATGAGGCAATGGAAAATACCATGGCTTGGATTAGGCCCACCTTAGTCTTCAAAGTAACACCCTTGCTTTCAACACCCTAAAAAGGTCTTGTGCAGCAGATTTACCCAGTGCAACACATTTTAAAATCTCTTGACTGCTGATTCCATGAGAATTGATTGTATTTCAAGCAAAATCTTTGATAACTTCTACATTTTCTCCATTATCATGATATTACCTATTGGCCACTTTGTATTTTGTATTTTGTATTCTTTACACTGCGTTGAAATCCATACTCAAGGCTGCAATCCTTGATCTTCATCAGCAAGGACTTCAAACACTCCTCCCTTTCAGCAAGCAAGGTTGTGTCATCTGCATATTGAAATTTATTAATAAGTTTTCCTCCAATATTGATGCCACATCCTTCATATAATCCAGCTTCTCTGATTACTTGCTCAGCATAGAGGTTGAACAAGTGTGGTGAGAGGACACGACCCTGACATGCAACTTTCCTGATGCTAAACTACAGAGTACTCCCCTGCTCTGTTTGCACAACTGCCTCTTGATCCATGTACAGGTTCCTCAAGAGCACAATACAGTGTTCTGGAATTCTCGTTTTGCTCGTGTTTAACCATAGTTTGTTGTGATCCATACAGTCAAATGCCTTGGCATAGTCAATAAAGCACAAGTAAACATCTTTCTGGTATTCTATACTTGCAGCCAAGATCCATATGACATTAGCAATGATATCCCTTGTTCCATATTCTCTTTCGAATCTGGCCTAAACCTCTAGCAGCTCCCTGACAATGTGCTGCTACAACCATTATTGGATGACATTCAGAAAAATTTTCCTTACCTGTGATATAAATGATATTGTTCTATAATTTAAGCATTCTGTTGGGTCACCTTTCTTTGGAATGTACAGAGAAGTAGATCTCTTCCAGTAGCTGTCTTCCAAATTTCTTGGCATAGACGAGTGAGAGCTTCCAGTGCTTCTTCAGCTTGTAGAAACACTTTAATTGTTATTCCATCAATTCCTGGAACTTTGTTTTTGGCAAATGCTTTCAGTGCATCTTAAACTTCTTTCTTCAACGCTATTGGTTCTTGCTCATATTACTGAAATGGTGGGTTGTTGACTAGTTGCTTTTAGGAAAACGGTGCTATGTATTTTTCCGTCTCATGGGGTGCTTCCTGCATCATTTAATACTTTTCCCATAGACTCTTTCATGATTACATCTTGCGGCTTGATTTTCTTCTTGGGTTCTTTCAGTTTAGGATCTGCTGAGAGTGATCTTCCTTCTTGGTTTTCTAGCTCTAGGTCTTTGCACATTTCATTCTAATATTTGACTTTGTCATCTCTAGCTGTGTTTGAAATTTTCTTTTCGGCTCTGACTTCATCTTTCCTTCAATTTGCCCTAACTGAATCCCTGTGGGTCAACTTTCAGCTAAACAATGGGTGGGCCTATAATGTAAACAATAACACCAGGGAGGTATGGTTCCTTAAAATATATAAGCCAAAATGATAGCATTTGGCCAGGGGCAAAGATCAGAAGACAGGAAGGGACAGGAAAGAAGGGCAGCTTATAAAATAAGGAAACCTAGGAGGTGATTTCACTGTTGTCACATTGTGAGTATTGAAATCAATGCCATGAAACAAAATGTGTATGAACTGTTGAATAGAAAATTAATTTGGTCTGTGAACCATGATGAAAAAATTTTTTAAAGAAAATGGTTTAATTAAAAAATACCAACATAACCTTATAATATTTTCCAAAGCATTTCTAATACTAAGGAACACATAAAAGTTTAATGTCAAAGCCACAGACATGCAAGATAGAAGACTCCCCAGAAGTTTTCTAAACATTACTGGAGAAGTTAAAAGCCCTAGTAGTGCTATCTTGGAAGCACTGGCCTCTTAACCAAAAGCTCGGTGGTTCAAACCCATCAGTCACTGTAAGGGGGAAAGATAAGACTATCTGTAAAGATTTACAGCCTCAAAAACCCTATATAGATTTGCTATGACTTAGAATCAG